AAACTTTATACCATACCATATACTGGTATTTACACATACCGGTACACAAAACGCCCTGAGAGCACCCAGACCCCTCGCCCTTCCTCAATCCCATCATGCTGCACTCTGACACCAAAATCACCCAAGTCCAGTTTCCTCCATCCTGCCTGCACCCAGCACCCCAAAATGCCAGTGCGAGTGCAATGTCATTTGGAGCCCCCGCCACCAAGGGGCACCGAATGCGGACCACAGAGGGAATCTAAATCCAAACAACCACAGAAACCAGACCACAGCACAGAGGGACCAGGAAAAGCAAAAAAGATCCAACCACCACCCCAATACAACCTGACTTATCCACACACATACACCCACACACAGAACCATACTCATATGTACAATCCTATTTACAACGTTAAAGACACCCATTCAGGTTCACCTCAGTTCATCATCCCTGTACTTGTTGAAAATCATCAGTCTGAACCTTTTCTTGAACAAACTCATGGCTGCTTCAGTTCTTGGCTGAGTTTATTCCAGACCCTTACACCACTGATAGAAGTGCACATTCTTTTCATGGTTGTTTGAATTTGAAAACGTGGTGACACAGTGCAAGTTGTGGACAGGTAGACTAAATATACAAAGTGATTTTTGTCAAAACACTACATAAAACTTAAAATAAGAAACACATGAACCAGACCTTTACGTATTTAACGACAAACATAAACAACAAAGAAGCCAAAAGGCTTCTCCTGCTTGTGTGGCTCATTTCTGTGTGGTCTGCAGTGATATTTATTCTTCCTGCCGCCATTTGCTAAATGTGCCGGGTGTAGTTGCCAACGTGGCTGTCGCACGCAGCGTTTTAGAAGTTCGTTTCATTTGCTTCTTTCAAAACACACAATAGCAGCCATTATTCAGGACAGCGCAGACGAATTAAGTTCCAGTGTTTCCATATTTTGCTCCCTATAGCAGACATGATAAAGAGCCCAGTCACTTTGCAGGCTGGGCCAGTCTGGCTAGCAGACAGAACCTCCTGCACAAAGAAGTGTGGTAGAGTCAGAAACAGATTCTGAACTATTGCAGCGTTAGTAAAAAAAATGTAAATGTGAGAAAAAAACAATTCAGTTGTTCTGTGATATGTCTCAGGGACTATAAAAGCTACAACAGAAATTAATACCAAGTGTGATGCTAATTTTTGTCCTCCGTCAATTCACTTCAATTCAGTTTATTTATATAGTGCCAAGTCACAACACAAGTCATCTCAGGGCACTGAACATTCACGTATGTAAAAGCCAATTAGTAGAAATTATCTACCTAAGGAAGTCAACAGATTGCATTGGACCTTCACTTCAGTCTCCCATCTTGAGCAAGCACAAAGGCAACAGTGGAAAGTAAAAAAATCATTTTTAACAGGAAGAAACCTCCAGCAGAACCAGGCTCAGGACAAACGGCCATTTGCCTCGACTTCGTCAAACAGTGAAGAGGGGAAAATGCAAATACCGTCCATACTTCTTGTGAGTATGATACCTTGAAAAATAGGTGAGCTACCAACATCCATTTTGATGTTTGGCTGCATCTAGGTGTAAGAAGGTTTCTTTTAGAAAATTGGGTTGCCAGATCAGAATCCAAGATGGCCACCACCACATATATATTATATATGGAAACGGAAAATCCCAGTCATGTGAGGAAAATAAGTGTCAGGGAATTTTGGTCAAGGTTTATGGATGTTTTTAACTATTATGGCTGAGAATGTTAACTGCCCATGAACCATGTGTTGGAGTTAGCATACAATTATTTTCTCTCTCAGAGAGAGTTGAGTGAGCGCTGATTTGATCCTGCATGTGCAGCTGGATGGCCAAGGTCACCAGCCTGCCTGTGAGCCAGGAGTTGATAAGCTTATAAAAACAATTCTTGCACACTGCCCCTGGCATATGCTCGTGACTGGGCTCCATGCATGTACCTTCTGTACACCTGTGTAACCTGTTGTGAAAGTCAACCCTTGCGAGTAAAACCAATTAAAAATCTTCTCATGTCCTCGAGTGTGGCTTCTTTGAATAAGTTAAATGAGAGGATATTTTAATCCAACAATAAGCTTTTTAGTTTTTTTGTATTGCTTAAAAGCATAATATCTTCAAATGATTGAGGTGGCTGGCAGGGTGGCCAAAAATTACAATAATCTATGGTGGCCAGTGCCACCATCAGCCACACCCTGGCTCCGTCATTGTGCCTGCTGGTGAATAAAACAGCTCACTCCACTCGCCAGGATCTGTCACTCTGTGCTGCCTCAGACAAGCAAAAAATAAATTAAAAAAACTTCCTTCCTCTTATGCACTTTGTAATTTCTACCCACTATAATATCTTGCATCAAACCATTAAGCTTTTGCATTCTTTGTTAAATTCCAGTCTGAAAAAAATCACTCCAACACACATTCACTATTAAAATCCCTCATCGACTGGGGATATCAGTGTACCACTTGTTTTCATTACTACATTCATTGTTAACTGCTCAGCGCTGTCCTCATTTATTTCACACACATTTTGTAGGGGTGACATGTAAAATTAAACTCTGGTGTAATCACTCCTGACCGCTTGTGAACATTCATTCACCCAGCCTTGGGTAAGACATCTGCACCCTTATCTGCTGATTTGTATGTTGCTTTTTATGGACTCCTTTATATTGTAAATATCAGATGTATTTTATCAAATAAACAGCCACAAGGAACTCCCAGCCACACTTACAGATGAACACACTGACCTCAACATACATTTTGCATAATCTTCTGGATACTGCAGGTACAGTAGACCATAATGTTGATTGTAAGCATTAATCTTTCTGTGACATACTGTACATGTGTGACCAGAAACTCAAAAAAAAAAAAAAAAAAGCCCAGACACAATTACTAGTGTATACTGTGAACATATTCAGAGTTCATCAGTGGAAATAACCAACTTTAGTTAGAAGGTGGATCTAACACAAAATGGAGGTGTTTGAGAGGTATTTAACATGAACACATTTTGAGTGGAAGCAGAATGTTTCAGTTTACTGTTGGTTCATTTCTCGATTCTTGGACCCCTTCTGTTCTCACTTTATTTGCTCCCACTGGGGTCCATCCTGAGGAAACATGGTCTTTCATTCCATTGTTATGCTGATGATTGTCAGATCTACCTGCCTGTGAAACCAGCGTTTGCTCCATTCACCCTCTGTTAAAATGTCTGGACGACATTAAGGTCTGGACGGCTTCAAATTTCTTAAGTTTTAACAATGAGAACACTGAAGTCATTGTCTTTAGCCCTAGCTCAACTACCGCCACTGATCCTGTCAACCTGGACTATTTTCAGCCATATCTTAAGCAATCTGGTAAAAATCTCGGGATGGTTTTAGACTCTGATTTCGTTTGACAAACAAATCAACTCTGTTCTGCAGAAAAGTATCTTCCAACTAAGACAGGTAGCTAAGCTCAAGCCAGTGTTGTCCAGACCCGACCTTGAGAAACTAGTTCATGCCTTTGTCATGACCCGATTGGACTATTGCAATGCACTCTATGCTGCGGTCAGCCAGGCCTCCATCTCACGTCTTCAGCTCATCCAGAATGCTGCTGCTCGGCTTTTAACCGGAACTCATAGATCTGAGCATATTACACCAGTTCTGTCCTCCCTTCACTGGCTCCCTGTGGATGTTCCAATAACAAGACTGAAACTCAGAGGAAATTGGGCATTCTAAGTCATGGGCCCCAAACTCTGGAACAACCTGCCCCTCAACATTAGGCAGGCCATCTCCCTTCCTCAGTTCAAATCCCTGCTAAAAACATCTGTTCTTACAGGCATTTCACACAGAGTTAATTTAGTGCTTTTTGTTTTGTGTTCCTATGCTTTAAATATTATTCAGTATTATTAGTGTATGGTATTTTTTATTAATTTTACTCCCATTGATGTTAAGCACTTTGATAACCGTTTTAAATGTGCTCTATAAAAGTTGACTATTTCATTTTTGATGCCATCCAAATAGCTATTGATCAAAAATAAGGTCACATGGTGACTCAGAACACAAAAATGTAGAATAAAACCTTATATTTGGTCTTTCATTTGTTGAGCAATCAAAATCTTTCATGCAAGATTTACTCAGTTTTAAATGAAGCAGACAATGATTTCCCGTTTTTCTGAAGCTGACCAAGATTTCCTGCCCGGCCTGATGTTCTTTATGATGTATGGCTGCTCGACCGCCTTCCTTTGTGCTCCGCACACAGACTTTGTTCTACCACTCATTTTCCTGAATCCTGCTCCAAACGACTGCTCATAACCACCTCATTCTCTGCCTGCCCCAAACTGATTTACGGAGGCCGATTTCACATTCACTCAGATTCAGTGGGCAATCAAAACTAGGAGACACTTTATTCCTTAACATCTTATTGCCCACTGCTAAAGGGACAAGGATACATTTACTTGTCTTACTAAAAGTATCATGAACCATTGAACAAAAAAAAAAAAAAAAAAAAAAAAAAAAAAAAAAAAAAAAAAAAAAAAGCCATGACAGAAAATGTTATGGAGCGATAATTTGAAGTAGTGGAGAATCTTTCAAACACACACACACACACACACACACACACACACCCCAAGTGCCATCTTAGAGATTCATTTCTCAAACTGGACTTAGTTTAGAACTACGGGAAGAAAAGGCAACAGGTTTTTCTTTCTGGCAACTTCAAGTAAAGAGATTTAGGCAAATATTTGCAGGGGACCTCATTTTCATCTTGTCTGATGCCAGACCAGAGCAGCATACTTAATTACTAAAGCCATTTATAGAAATGACAAGTTCTGCTTGTAGTCAGAAAAACAAAATCTTGTAAAAAGACCCAAGTGATCCATCAGTGGCTGACCTTTTGTTAAAACACCTGTGTAAAATATTGAGCCAAAGACGTTTGTACCCATTAGAACCAACAGATGGCACTCTGGTAACATATGGACCACAGTCATTTGTGATGAGGAAAATAGCAAAACCATTATTTTTTATTTTTTTTGCAGCTCTGTTTATTAAAAAAAAAGCAGGAGAACATAGCGCATTTAGCAGTTACTGGTGAGGAAGCAATAATATTTATACAGAAGTTTTAATTTATCTGAAGAACCAAACCCAAAAAACAAAAAACCTGCTCAACATTTTCTGAAATCATTCCGCTCACCCTTTCACCTTATGAAAAGGCTCTCTCGTTAACCTTCTGACAGCCGTGCAGAGCAAAGCCCGCTGTTTGGGTCACAGTTGTAGTCTGGCCTGGTTTGCACAACAGCCTTTCCTGGAACAAACTCTTTGGAATTGATAAGTTTGGGCAAATGCTGGCCAAGATGGACAGGAAGCAAAATCATCTTCCACCGACCACGCACAGGAGCCCTTTTCTTCCCTTTGCCTTTTTTGGAGGGGCGAGACGAACGAAAGAAGGGGACTTTTCTCCCAGAGCCCTTCTTGGTTTGATGTTTTTTGTCAGCAGGGTGACCCCAACTTCTAGGCAAGGGAAGTCTACTCAAAGGCACACCATGTCTATTTGGGGCAGACTCATCAACACCAAGGTCATGCGCACCGTAGGCAAATGGAAGTGAATGTGCACGACTTCTGGGATTCAGAGTAGATGCGCTTAACTGGCTTGGGGCAGCATGCTTGACCTCTTCAAAACTGGACTCGGGGGTTCTGACCGGCAGTCTTCTAGGAAAGCCGCTGTACCCGTGTGGAAATTGTGAGCCACGGTTCTGTAGGAATCCTTGTGAGCCACGGTTCTGTAGGAGTCCTTCAGAGCCCCTGGGGTGAACTTGTTTATACATCACATCATGAAAAGGACTTGCTCTTGGTTGGTCACGTATGCCCCAGTCCATGTGGGGTTCAGCATATGCACCATAACTGAACGTTCCAGGACGTTGCATTTCATGGTGAGTCGGCGCCGAGAGATCAGGGGCTCCGTGGACTCCTGGATACGGCAAACCCAAGGCAGCAGCACGAGCTACAAAACAAACGTCAACATTTGCCACTATCCGGTCATTAAAAAGAATTTAAAGAAAGAAGATAGGAAGGTTAGTAATTACAGCACACATACCTCTTGCTGTTTTAGCACAGTAAGCACCTCCAGCTGACACAGAGTGGAAGACTGCAGTACTATAAAACAAGGAAACCACTTTAAGCAATGATTCTTGACTTTTTTTTTTTTTTTTTTTTAAATCAAATGAAACCTTCAAAATAAAAAAATAAAAAAACAACATACCTGAGAAAACACCAGAGGTACACACATTGCTGCACTGTCACCATGAGCTTCATGACAGCACAACCCACTGAGCTACTTTCCACTCCTGAGTTCTTCAGCAGCCTCATGGACTGCCTAATATCTCACCCTGGCATGATTTACTAATTACAGACAGCTGGTTGTCATAGAGACCAAAAACCAACCACTGAATCCAGTCAGCCACAGGCAAACAGCTTCACTGCAGAAAATGAATTAACATGTTTGCCATAGCTGCAGAATTCTGCAATACAATTTTTTTCTGTGTGCTCTGGAACAAATGCCAAATAATGGACGAATAAATGGAAGTTTGTTCTTCTCTCCTTGGAGATAAGCAAAACACAGGTTTAAAGGTGACATCATGAATCATCAAGCATCATGGTTCGGTGGATTTTTGTTCAGAGCTGTGATTTGTTACCACTCTGCAGCAGAAGTTTTCAAATCTTTTGTCAGAATAACCGTTTGATGTTGGATCTGTTCTGCTGTATCTGTAATCCCATAACTTGACATCAGATCTTTATAGGAACAGGTAGCTGATTAAACTTTCTAATTCAGTGGACCTAAAAGATTATAATGACATACAATTTCTGCATGATTACCATAACCACAATAAATCTAAAATGATCTCATTAAGTTTGACCTCTTTCATTTCAAGGATCACAGAACACAGAGAACACGTGGAAGCACATACTTCGGTGCTATTTCAGTTTTGCTTTTTTAATAAACACAGTAGAAGACTACCTTTGGAAAAGCAAAATTTACTTTAAACAGAACAAAGTGGATTCTTCCAGCAACAAAATGTGTCAATAAAGATACTGAAAGCAGAAAAAATATTTCTGTCAGGAATGACAAGCCAAACAGGAGCTTAATTTAATTCTGTAATTGCACATTCAGCTTTACCCTCATCTCATAGGCCTGGGCTTTACTTGAAATGTGCCATTGCACTGGTCAAATTGCAGGTGACATTCCACCAAACAAGAATACCTGCTCAAAACCTTGTTTTATTTTCCCACCATATCATCACCAAGAGGAGTGTGATGTCAAAAAAGTGCAAATGGCAAAAAATAAAATAAAAATTTAAAGTAACTCAACAGACATAATGTTTTTCTGCACTGAAAAGATCATCAGAGCGGTAATGTTTTACTTTTATATGTGTTCCTCAACCCGTCCAGGGTATACCCCGTCCTTCACACAGTGATTGCTGGACATGGGCACCGGCGACCCCCGTGACACAAAATGGAAGAAGCAGGTAAAAGATAATGGATGGATGTGTTCCTCAAGTGTTAGTTAAATATCTTATAAACCATTAAATATCTTATGAACCACTAGACACATTTTATTAAAAACTTTAGATTGTAATGGCTGCTGTGGGGCAACCTTAGCAAATGCAAAGATGGCTATGACTCAATCAGTGTAACAGATATTGAACTAGCATTTACTAGGGTAGTAGATGAGAGTTATCCCCAACCTAGACTTTGAGAGCTAACAGATAGCTCCAGAAACCCCAACTACTGGAGTCATCTCAGTCTATTAGCCATATATCTCGTAAACCACTGAACAGATAGGAATGAAATTTTCAAAATTAAATAAAACAATAAAAGCTGAACCACTACAACTGACTAGCTTTTGGAGTCAAACCAATTCATGATGGCTGCCAAAGCTAAGTCAGCTTAAAAATGATCAAAATGGATATAGCTCAGTCAATTTTATGTGTTGGCCTAAACTTAGGTATGGTTGTAGTTGACTCAAATTTACAGCTCAAACCTTGAGAACCACACATTGCATAGCATCTTTAGTTATAACTTCACCATTAACTGAGTCAACACAGTCTCATTTGTTGAATGTCTCATGAATCACTGGTTGGATTTTAATAAAACTCTCAGACAATAATTAATGAGGTACATCTATTGCTGATTAGCTTTTGGAGTCAGCCTAACTGAAGATGTTCACCACAGCTAATTGACTTTAGCCAACAGCATAATTGATTGATATTGAGTTAAAAATTGGCATGGTAGAAGCTGAGAGTTGTCAATACACTCCAAGTGCTAACATAGCTAGCAAAAATGCATAAAGTTGCGCATATCATTTAATGTTTGACCAAAACAACCATGATTTTTTTGTATAATTTATTCGCTGTTTGTATCTTTTCATTGTTTTGCACTAAATATTGATATTGTGCTTTTATATTGTGTTTTACTGAACGCTTTACTTACTTTGTACATTTTATTAAGTTTTTTTTTTTACAGTATGGTGTTCTTGAGTGTCATGAAAGCTCCCTTCAAATAAAATTAATTACTATTATTATTACTTTTTATTTGGCATAAAAGGCAGCACGCAGAATGCATTCGTTCATGGAGTTCTAGGTGTTAATTACGGAGATGGCCTTGACTTGTCCTAAACTTTTTTGACCTGTAGATCTTATTGAAATACACAAGACTGTTAAAGAAACTTTGACAGTCTAGCACACATCGAGTCAGTGTTGGTGTCCAGCAAAGTTGCAGCACCGAAGTGAAACAGAGGAATGCCTCTTGTGAATATGGTTAAATCACTTGACCTGCAGCTTCTGGGAGCAGGTGATGGTAAAAAGAGTCACAGGGTATGAGAGCTCCACCTTTTCACCTCAAGGTGAAGATGAGTCCTCTCCGTCACCGCCCATCAACACATGATGGGCTCATTTGTGACAAACAACAGGCCCTTGTCCTATAGGAGTCTTGCTGGACTGCAAAATGAACTCCAGCACTACATTATTCCAGAGATGCTTATTTCCACCAAAAAAAAAGGTACAATTTAATGCATCGCAGTCAGATTCATGATGAAACCGCTCACATTTGTTTTGAGCTAATTTTCTAAACTAGTGTAAATATGTATCAGAATCAATTAGGCCTATTAATATACAGTCCTCAGAGGATTCACATCAAAGCACACAATCCAATTAAGAGTGTTTACTGTTTAGACTGAAATGCTCAGCGTTCCGCTCTTAAACCCAATCCGCAAATCAGTAAACAGCGCTTGCCAGAGCATCTTCGCCAGTGGTTGTGTGTGGGCGTATGTGTGTGTGTTAGCCTGCATGTTTGCATGTAAAGTCGAGACAGAGATAAAGAGGGAGAACACATGCAGACTAGAAGTCAATAATATGTTTTTGCGATTTTATTTGCACGTTAGTATGTATAAAAAAAGTCCAACTCTGAATCTGAGGTTGGAAAAAACAAAAACACTGAAACACTGAACGGTGTTTAAGAATGGGTTTGCCTAACTCTATTTTTATTCCCTGGTACTCATTTTAGGAGAAAAACATGTATTTCTTTCATACTTTGTATTTTTTTCAAACTTTATACTTCTTTGCATGAAAATAAAGCAAGTTATTGAGGCTTGAAGCTGCAAGTGAACACATACAACACAAATATAATGTGTTGTTTGCAATCTGTCCCTTTCCTCAAGGTTTAAGGTCCATCAATTAAATGTTGTGAAGATAACTACTACTGACAGTGTTGAGTTGTATAAATTTTACACTAATTAGGAAAAAAAGGAAGAGTCAGTAACAATTGCCTATGATAAAAGAAAAAAAAATCCTGTGGCAGTTGAATTTTGCAATCATGATGTGGCATGAACTGGGGAAACATTTACCTGCCAGACGTTCGTTAGGGTTGAGGATTTTCCTTTCAACTGGCAACTTGTCCAGGGTGTATACCTCTTTTTACTAAATGACCACTGGAGATAGGCACCAGCTCCCTGTGACTGAACAAAACAGATAAAGAAAATGGATGGATATGCACAGGGCAGAAAGCCCATGTGGAATATGGGCTTTCTGCACTTGCAACATTTGCTACATTTGCTCATACATGTGTATTTCTGCTGATTTTTACTTCCTCTTGGCTGGTTATGTTCTTATAGATATAGAAGTTTGTATAGTGATCTGTATAATGATCTCAGGAAACCCAGATTGGTACAAGACCCGGAAGGAGACAAGACTCCAAGATAAAGGTTTAACACTGTTTATTATTTACAGTGATGTGGTATTTACAGGTGCTTCTCTGGAACCCCTGAGGAGAGAGGACAAGGTCAGGTGCGTCTTGGGTCAGGTGTCGAAACTTCATATTAATTAGTTTGGTTTTCTCCTTACAGGTATGGACTTTGAGGTGTGCACCCAGGAATCCAGGAAGGAATCCAGAGATGGGTAACCAGGCAGGGCAGGCAGAGAAGGCAGGACTGGCCAGGGAGGCAAGTGGCTGGAGGGCAGGACGTGAGGAAATGAGGAACAGAACCAAGGTGGACCAGGACTGGACAGGACCCAAGGAGGCAGGTTGGCTGAAGACAAAAACATCAAGGTAAGTAATTGTACTCAGTAGCCAGAGACATAAATACCATGGGAGAGTATAATGCTCTGGCGAAGAGTAACACTCGATTGCAGCCTTAAGTAGTGTTGTCTTCTCATCAGGTAGATGGGCGACAGCTGGTGGCAATTAGTGGCCATCTTGGAGAGAGTGGCTGCAGACGGTGGTACTCTTACAATCTGCATGCTTTCCTGAAGCAAATGTGTTTTTCATGTACTGCACTTTCCTTATACAGTCTATTAAAATGTCACTAAGTGTGATTGTGTGTGTCAGTGGTTGTCTCTTTTCTCTACATGTCCTTGTGATGGACTAGTGACATGTCAAGAGTGCACCCTACCTTTCATCCACTGACTGCAGGAAGTGGGCACCAGTTCCCAATGATCTAATATGGAAAAAATAAACAAAGAAAAGGGATGGATGCTTCTAATATTTGCCTTACATCACAACATTGCTGTCCACAGAGTTTAGCCTAAACAGTATAGATTACTCATATCGATTACTCTGATTACTCATAAATGTTTTTCTCTGTATAATATGAGTTTATTCTGATTATTAAAAGTTAAAGATTATTATTCAGGCATACCAGATTATAATAGTATCAGTGAAGAGTTGTTAGACAAACTGCCTGGAATGAAGAATAAACATCATCAACCTCAAATATCTTTGCAAACAACTTATAACAATGCATTCAGAAGATTTTTAATGTTATGAAGCCCTTTAAAAATCAATACATGCTCCC